ACATACATGACAGACACACAGTGTGTATTAGTCTCTACGACCTGTGAAGATGTGCAAGGCCACTTGCCGGAGCGGGGTCACCCGCCAGGATACGACATGGACACTTCTTACTACGTTCCTTTATGCTCCACGGATCCGGACAGTAAATATGATCTGGACTCCGATGAGCACGGGAAGTACATCGAGCTCTGCTTCGCAGCAGACATGTCCAAAGTCGTCCTGTCCGAGCAGCAACACCGATTGTTGGATGACAGCAGCGTCGCAACTATGCGAGTATACGTTAGTGCTGCTTCCAAACGTGCCGTGGTCGTCAAGGAAGACGATCTACTCACGAAGGCCGACATCCAAGCAAATCCGGTCAAAGTTTCCAAAGCCCTTTACACAGAATTGAAGACTTGGCTTGACAACAAATGCTTCCAGATGACTGACTTGAGCAAAGCGTCTAACATCATGACTTCACGCTACGTATACAAATGGAAGTTTGTCAAGAACGAAAAGGGCGAAATGGAAAGGACGATCAGGTTACGCTTGGTACTCCGTGGCTTCATGGACCTTGAAGCCTTTGATGTCGAAACCTTCTCTGGCACGGCAAGGAGGTCAAGCCAGAGACTGCTCGCAAGTTCTGCTGCATGCAACAAAGCTTGGATCATCGCTTCCCTGGACATCAACATGGCTTTCTTGAAGGGACTGACCTATAGCGAGCTCGCCGCGGCAACGGGCGAGAAAGAGCGTGTAGTGTGCTTCACACTACCTCCTGGGTCAGCAGCTGTCCTTCGCACACTGCCAGGCTTTGAGTCATATGACGAATCAAAGCATTGTCTTCGGTGTCTGAAGCCGGGGACGGGCACGAAGGATGCTCCCAGGGCATTCTCGTTGAAGCTCAGGTCCATCACTAGGAGCTTTGGGCTACAGCCTACTTCATACGACGAAGAGTTCGAGATGAGCCCAAACCTCTTGACAGCCAAACACGTTGATGACATCAATATGACCGGGAAGGAAGATGCTATTGACAAGTATGTCAAGTGTGTTGAAGATACGTTTGGAAAGTGCAAACTGAACAAGCACACATACACAAACTGTGCCGTTCGGTACAACAAGACCGATGATGGGAGCGTCACTCTTGATCAGGACGAATACATCAAACAGCTTCGTCCTATCACACATCCAGAACTCACAGGAGCTGATCCTGAGAGCAAAGCGACAAAGACGATTTCTGATATGTTCGTCAGTCTTCGTGGCGCTCTAGCCTATGCGTTGATCACGCAGGTATGGCTGATGGTCTATGTTGTCTCACTACAACGTATCCAGGAACCGACAAACATCCAGGTACGACGACTAAACGCGGTTACCAGGAAACTACAGGCAGGTCCGAAGAAGATCGTGTATCAAGCTATGACCCCAACAGGAGAAGTCGACCTGCATAGCGATTCTGGCTATCGTCGTCTCAACGGAGATGAAGACGACGAAGTCAAAGGCTATGGTATCCGCGGGGCTAACCTGCTGAGGCGTGGCCACACGCAAGCGGGGAAACCCGTCGTGCACCTGGTGGACGCATACTGCAAGTCTCATCGACTGCAGGTGCGTTCGAGCTACTCTGCGGAAACACTGGCAGCAGCCCACAACTTGGAAGACTGCTACCCGACCATTGTAACGCTCCACGAGCTACACTCGGGACCATTGACCCCCACACAGTTAAAGAACATATTGGAAATGGGTGGTCTATGTATCAAAGTCACTCTGACTATTGATGCCGAGTCTGTCTTCAAGTCTTTGTCTAGCAAAGATCTGAAGAAGCCCACAGAATGTACTCTGCTTGGGCACATTAGCTGGATCCGCCAGATGATGGAGCGCGGAATCGTTGAAAGCGTTCAATGGTGTGACACGCGGGATATGACTGCCGATGGTCATACCAAAGGTAGTATTGACCGCGCGTTGCTCCTACAAGTAATGGCCGGCCAGCAATCCTTCAAGCACGAGCTGAAGAAACATACTCCGTATAGGGCGGGCAGGTCGTCTCAGGACGGCCCTGCCTCCCGAGCTAGCGGGGAAACCCGCATGCAGGTGCGCTCTAGTAGCGAGGAAACTCGCCGGTAGCGAGGCTACTCGCGCGCCCTTGCCTTGTAGGCAGCCGCTGCTGCTTAGCACTGTTTTTCCGCGTAATGTAGAAGTGCGGTGCCTGCTCGTCTCCTCCCCCTCCGACTTTAAACGGAGAAGGTTAAAGGCGAGGTATAAATCGAGCATGTACCGCTGCCGTGCCTGGCTCAAGCCGGGCCCGGCCAAATATATGACTGTGCCTCGCCGAGGCGCACGACTGGTATCTGAGATCGGAAAATACCTTTTCCATTGAAGATGCCCCTTCTATCCTTTACTCCAGATCCTATGCTTCGTCTCGCTCTCTTGCTCATGCAATATGAGCCAAAGCCTGGGATATGGCAACGCTTGAAGCGTAACACATACCTAAGCTTACCAGCATGTTTTCGACTCCCTGGAGCGCTCTTGTGAAGGCCGCGCCTAGACTGAAAATCATCCGTGATCCGAGTCCAGCGCACTTCCCGCGCGCTAAGTCCTGGTTGCAAGACCCTAGCCCCCCAGTTTCCAGCCTGGCTGGCCCGCCAGGAACACGGCCACTGCGGCCCGCTCTCGCGTCGGCGCCGCTCTCACGTTTCTTGGCAATCGGTTTCCCACCTTCATGGCGGCGCACGCTTTTCAGTCCAATTCGTCGACGCGCGAGCGGACGGAAATGTCGTTCTTGCTTCGGCGCCGCGCAGATCTCGCTTGACATTGGCGTTCCCGCCTCGACGCGACGCATCTGTTTCACTCGCCAAGTCGTTGTTGGGGGAGGGGCCGCGCGCGAGCAGGCCACCTGTCCCCATTGCGTAGGCTCTGTGCAGGTATCGTTTGGAAGTGTGTGTTTTTTCGCGCCTGCGCGGCACAAGTTTCGCACATCGAATGACATGAGGCATTCCAGAAAGACCCTCGCCTTCGAGGACCGAAGGAGTTGGCGTCCCTTCCTCGGCGGAAGGCTTCGGAAGGTTGGCGGAAGGCGGCGGAAGTACACCGGGGCCGCCTCCGCCGGCGGAAGCTGGCGGAAGCCGGCGGAAGTGAAAGATGCGTCCCCAAGAGGTCACAACGTTTTCGGGTTCAGGGTTTCCAGAATCCGCCACACGAAGGCGGCAGCGGCAGCGTGGCCGCTCGAGAATGGGCGAAGTGTTGTCTTCGCCGACGCGCCGCACAGCTTGCGCAGGAAAGTGGCAGAGCTGTTTCGGCGCGGCGCACGCTTCGCCTCCGCCACGCTCGCTGGGAGCTCGCCCGCCCGACTGGGCTGTGTGGTGTTCTCGCCGCAGCGCCGTGTAAGGATGTTCTATGTTCTGAAGTTCCGCTCCCGCCTGTGTGCGGCTTGCTTTTTTTTACCCTCGCCAAGTCGTCGGAAGCGGAGCCGCGCGCGAGGGCTTTCCGTTCGTTGGGTAGAGAAACGCGTTCCAATGCCAATATTAAGGTTCAAGCCGTGCATGTCCCTCAACAGGAGGAACATTCAACACTTAACAAACATAGTCTGGGGACAATGTTTTGAGCATTGTGTTCTATGTTTGAGCATTTGTTGCGTATTTGGATGTTTCGTCTAACATTCGCTTGTAGGAGGACATTCCCGACCTGCATCAAGGTGTCAGTGCCCATTGATGTTTGTGTTCTGGGAGGGTGGATGGGACCGAACGGGGCCTCCTGACTCTGTCTCTGGCTGTTTTTTTAGTCCGAGCCTTTGCCGCAAGCTCCCTGGATGGCGAAGCCGCGTTCCCAGCAGAGGAGAGTTCTATCTTATCAGGCTCCTTCATTGCGTACAGCGAAAGGTGCTCACAAGCACAGCTCCTCACTTTGATTATCGAAGCAATTGCGAGTCATATCTTCTACAGGGAGGCCTGCTGACTCGCTCGACCTGGCTAACCTGACCCCCCTCATACTCCTACTGGCGTCCTTGGGCTGCCCGACCGCACCAAGCCCGCTGCCGTGACCGCCGAGCCATGTCTTTCTCCAGGCCGCTTGTTCGATCCGCCCTCCTCCCGTCCCTGCCCACCTGGGCGGCAACAATGAAAGCAGCGTCGGCTGCGAGGGCATTCGCGAGTGATTTGCCCGCATATGCTTCGGACGCTGAAGGGAGGACCACGCTGGGCTCAGGAGGGGCTCTTGTGCTCGGGCCGTTCCGCAGATCTGGGCCGGGGGATCCGGGTCGTTGCAGAGGCTTGTTGTGGCTTGGCGAGCGCATTCGTTCTGCACTGTGTGTTCCGTACGTCGGCGGCGAGCGGGGGGGGTCCTGAGTTGCGCTCCCTGCAATACCCGCACATTTCCTGCAGGAGCCCCACATCCACTTCCACCTCCCCTCAGATCCGAGGGCACGGAAAAACATTGTAAGAATCACGACCAGAGCCATAGACCCCATCTTCCTGCGCCAATTTTCAGGCCACATCGATATTTGATGATCCGTGATGGGCCCAGCGCCCGAGTCAAGGCAACATCTCAATTTGTGGAACCACTGCGATGCCAGGGCCCACCTCCTCCTGCTCAGGGGCGAGCGAGGGAAGGACATGAGAAGGAGAAGGCCTTCTCAGAAAGCGGCAACACCTCTCAGAAACCCTCGCGCCTTCTGAGAAGTCTCCTGTGTCTTCGGGGAAGGCCTATTCGGGAAACTTCTCCGAAGGCCGGCGGACTTCCGAGCCTTCTGAGAGGGCCCGCCCCTTCTCACCTCCCCCCCTCGCTCGCCGCCGAGTATGGTAGCACGATGACTGTATCCTCCTCTGGGCGGCGCGCGCGCACCTCCTCCTACAGTCGGGGCGCTGAAGAAGGGGCCCTGTTCGTTGGGGAGGGGTTTCGTGTTCCTTCCCGGGTATCAGGTTATCTTTCGGTTTTCGATGGGAAATCGAAGTTTGATTTATGGACATGTAGGGTTCCTTCGGTCAACGCCCCGACTGTCTGCCAAGCGTTCCCTCTGTCGCGCTCCTAGCGCCGAGGCCGCGCGCAGGAAAGCGCGCTGGGGCTCCTCGAGGAGAAGGTGCGGGTGCTGGAGGACAAGCAGCCCAG